TTTTTTCTTTCTTTTCTTTTGCAGAACTGGGGATTGAACTCAGGCCCTTGTGCTTCCCAGGGAAGCACTTATTCTACTGAGCCATCTCCCCGGCCCTGCTAAGGGAGTTTTCTTGTCTTCTACCCTCCCAGTAATCTCTGTCTCACATGAAATCGAGTTGGCTGGTAGCCTTTTCTTGGGCCTCCGATTCTGCTCCTCCTCAGTAGCTGGGCGTGATGGCTGATTGCTGCTTAATTTTGGGAGCTCTCTCAAACATTTAGTGACCTTCTTATCTTAGTCAAGTAGTTTTAAGTCACAATTCCCAGAACATCTGTATTTCCTTCCTTTTTGCATTTCTATAACTCTTTATTCATTTCTTGATTGAATGAGAAGTTCCTACAACTACATTCTTGCATATGGTTATTATGAGCTCTTTTATCTAATTAAAAAGATTGAGTTCATTCTCATTCTTGCCCTTAGGAAATTTGTTTGGTGGAAAAGCTTTACTATGTATTTATCTCTCAAAAGGTTTTTAGTTTTGTCTTTTATTTTGGAGGATAGAAATAGTTGTTCCTTTAATTTTGCAGGGTGGTAGATTTTTGGATTTTTAAAGTTCCCCTTCTGTTTTTCTTGAAAACCGGGCAACTCATTCCTGAGCTCATCTTTTTTGTGTGTTCTTTGTCAGATGCAGAAAATAGCAGCCAACACAGACAACTAACGTTCTGTTTCCCAGTTTCTTTCTCTGGAGCTATGAGCTTAATCGGGTCAAGATCCACCTCTCAAGGTACTGTAGGTGACAATTTCACCAAATGCCACTGTAGTGCACAGATGGCTATTTATCTAGCCAACTGCTGACTGCCCTTGCTGCCATCGCCGCCGCCTGATGTCGCAGCACCACGGGCCTTTGGGGATGGTAGCATTTACCTCTGGCACCAACTTCTGCACCTTTAGATGTGTTTGTGTGCACTGGCAGCATGGCTCTGAGATTACTCTCTCTATATCTATCTATCTATCTATCTATCTATCTATCTATCTATCTATCTATATTTTAGGCAAGAGTCTATAGGGTGTTTATTGGACTCATAGTGATCCTCCTGTTTACAGCCTCCCAAGAGCTGGGATTACAGGCACGCACCACCATGCCTGGTCTCAATTGCGGTCTCAGTGTGGCCCAAGGATCGAACCTCTGGCCCCTGTGCCCACTTGCAGGAGCTTTACTCTATGCTGAACTATTTGGTGGCCCCCCCCTTTTTTTTTTTGAATGAGGCTAAAAATCCTTGGATTTGTGTAAAACTAATTGTGCACATTGGTATCATCAATGTCATTATGTTGGATTTTAAGCTTATTAAGATAGAGCCTGTAATAACATAGTCTATTACCTGCAATAGCAGCTTCAACAAACACATTTACAAGGTCTGGTGAAAATACATGTTGGGGGCTGGGGAGGTAGCTCAGCGGCAGCACAAGTGCCTGCCTGGCAACTGCAAAGTCCTGGGTTTGAATATATTTAAAAGAAATCACTACAGTGCAAGACATTTTGCTGTGCATTCCCCCTCAGAATGCTCCTTGCTCCAGACAGGTCTATTCCATGCTGCTGCCCCCTTCTGAAGTCCTCTTTCTTGAGTGTCAAAAATACAGCGACCACAGCTTCTGAGTGCCGAGCAGTGGGAGTCAGGCTGGTGGCAGCGAGTGCGTCCTTGTCGCTCTTATCCATGTGGTCTGGCACTGCGGGACTTCTGGCTCTTCCGCAAAGTCAAAACAACCATGGAAAGTGAGCACTCTGATTTGTTTATTTTATTTTATTTTAAAGAATAAAAAGAAAAATAAAAGCCAAAACAAATAGCAAAAACTAAGACAGAAACCAAGTAACATAGAAGAACACCTATGTACAGAATTTCAGAAACAATAAAAAATTGACAATGGCTGTTATGTTACATATTTTTATCAACAAAGTCTGTTGGTCAGATTATTAGATATAGGTCTGCAAGTTTGGTCAAATAATTAAACATTAACATTTGCTTTTTTTTGTATTTTAGGGAAGAGTCTACAGGGTGTTGAGAGTCTCGCTACTAGATTAGTCTTGCAGTGATCTGCCTGTTTACAGCCTCCCAAGAGCTGGGATTACAGGCAACACTTGCTTTCAATAAACTTTATTTTTTTCTTGTCCTTTTTACTTTTTTAGAAGTTTATTTCAAAGAGAATATAATAATAATTGATAAGACATTAGAAATGGCACACATGCAGACGATGCAGATGAGAGGAATTCAGCTGTGGTTTCTATAGCGCACACTGCTGTCTTTGATATAGTAGCTCAGTACAGTTTTGATTTGACACAAGAAATTGAGGTGGTCACGCATTGCGACTAAAGACAAGAAAGAGGACTTCGGAGCTGCTTCAGAAAGTGGCAAAAGTGACAAGCTGTGTTCAAAGTGAGGGGGGACATCTGAGGGGTTCTCATGGGGATGTGGAAGAAGTTGAAACACGTAACCATTTGCCAGCTTTTCAGTGACATCGCGTAGCTCCCAGCACAGAACGAGGCCCAGAAAGTTTGCTGCTTCCACTTGTAACTCCAGCTCCTCAGGACTGAGCAAGGAGGATAGCAAAAGCGAGGCCAGCTAGGGCAACTTGGCGAGACCCCGGCTCAGAGCACAACATGGAAACAGCTGGGGCTGTAGCTCGTTGGCAGAAGTCTTGCCTAAGCTTGGACAGGGCCCTGGGTGCCAGTCCTAACACAGTAACCAAACATCAGCACAAACAGAAAACCAAAATACTTACAGGTCTGAATATCTGACCAGCTGCACTATTTTATCACCTACAGATCTGTGTGTCGCTAATACCTAGAATCGCAGAGTTTTCCAGAGTCTTATTCTGTAGGCTCTTGGGAGTGCTGGCATGCTGAGCAGCAGCTCTGAGGGGTTCCTGAGGCATTCAGAGCCAGTGACAGCATGGTCCCGGGTACTACGAGTGAAGCACCCTCTCCATCCCAGCCGTGTGCTCTTTGTATATTCCTTATTATGCCCCCAGTGCTGTCACCTGATTAAATTACAGGAATTACTCAGTAAGTATTAGATGAACTAACCATCTAGATATGTTGATTCTGTTTAACCTTGGTTAAATGAGCCAGTTCCCATTAGTTTGGCGTCCTCATTAGACAGTCATTTTTACCCCAAGGGGGTAAGCTTTGCGGTCACTGATCATGCAGGCCAACATTGCCGCTTGCTTGTGAGGAGCTGGTTGCTTTCCCTGCAACCCTGCAAGTTCTCTTACGCTGAAGAAGGGCCTCTCTGATCACGTGACGCTGCTGCGCTCCTCCACGTGTGTGTGTGTGTGGGGGCTCTGCCGGGGCAGCCGCTGGAGGGTGAGCAGCCCACCACGCTCAGTGGGGTCCGCATGAAGGGTCTGATCACAGGCTCTGGCAGCAGGAGTGAGACAAGTAAGGCGCTCAGCGGAAAGCGTGCTTCTTGGTCTCAAGCGAGCGGCACTGCGTACGAGGAAGGTCCGATCCGCTGAGGCCCTGCCTTGGATCTGCGGCTGCATAGAAAAGAATATATTATTAAAAACACATTGCATTTTGAAGATGTGTTGGATACACTTAGACACATTTACAGCCATTAGATTGCAAATCTGATGATTTGGAGATTTGGAGAAAGAGACAGTAGAGATGATGGGGGAGGGCTAACATCACCCCAAATCTGGAAGCACCAGCACAGCTGCAGTAAAAACAGGTAGGTCAGTGTGGAGATGCTAGCGGAGCTCAGTGGTAGCCGGGAAGGAGCCGGACCTGAGCAGACGCTTTCAGAAAGCGCTCTGGTGGGAGAGGAGCTTCCCATTGCTCCAGAGGAGGGAGAAGGCTGCACAGAGTCTGCAGGCGAGGGGCACTGTGTCCCCCAGAGCCCTGGCCAGGTCGGAAGACCACCTGGCCGGACAGCTAGCTGTTGGGGCGCGCTATAGTGGAAGAGTGTAACTGCTGCTAGAGCTCTGCTTTTTACAAAGGAGCACAGAAGATTTTCTTGGTCCTAACAGAGACTTAAAAAGTCATTGCATTTTTTTTTTTTTTTTTTTTTGAAAATGGCTGTGCGTCTCTAGGGCATGACACCTGCACATAGCATGGGCTTCATAAATGTGTGCCTCAACTGAACTGTAAAAAAGAAACATTTTGCTGGTCATTCAGAATTTACAAGTAAGAGCAATTAAATGTTTCTGTGTGATAATTCCTTTTGGTGAAAAAAAAAATCATCCTTGATCAGAGCTAGCCAGGCCAGCCATTAATGTGGCGGACGAAGAGCGATGCCAAAGCGCTAGTCAGGGTCTCATCGTTGGGTTAAAGAAAATTAGTTCAAGGAGACCACAAAACTACCTGGTGGCGCAATCTCTGATTCTCTCAATGATGTTGTGCTTTCTTTGGGTTTTGTCATCTATCCATAAGATGGAATTAAAGGCTGTCCCCGTGTCTAATACAAAGTCTTGGCAAGATCGACTTGTCTCCTATTAAGGTCCTGTTGCATGACTGAAAAGTAGAGCACACAGTGCGTGACAAGGGTGGCGGCAACTCGTGGAAGGGCCTAGGCGATCGTGACAGTGACTTGTCCCTTGGTTCATCTCTGTAGTCAAGAATTTCGTCGTCATGAGGGTGAAGGGGGTGGAAGGGGGGAGAAGAACAGGAAGATTTGATCCTCTTTCCGTCATCCCCTTTAGGGTCCCACTTTGGTTTCCCTTCAGGAAGTGGAGTAGAAAAAAACCCCTGCATTTGTCAGTAACTCCGGGCCAACCACAATGTAGAGGCAGTAAGCAGGTCACTGAAACAGGGGCCCTGATTGCTATAAAGCCAACAGGTGTCCTCACAGACACACACAGGCGTACCGGAGCCATAGGCAGGAGGATCCTGCGCAGAGCAAGCAGCCCAGGAAACAGCAATGGAAGGCCTGCTCAGCTCCGCCGCGGTGAGCAGCAATGGTAACTGCCTCAAGGGCAGTCCCGCCGAGGGGTTCAGAAAAGCAGATTTCTAGGGACTCAGGCTTCATTGGAGTTGTTAAATGTGTTTTTTTTTTTTTTTCCAGAAAAAACCCGCTCACTTTTAATTTTGATTCTTGCTCAATGGAGAATAAGAAAAAATAACCAGAAAAGCTATAACAGGGTTCAAGAAGTAGTTCTTAGCCTGCCGCTTGCTGCCCAGGTGGTGGTAGCAGGTGAAGTCTCTGCTGCATAGACAGCTAGCAGGGCCTCTCTGGAGCACATTATGGAGCCAGGTGGCCAAGAACTTTGACTTCATGCTGGGAACCCGGCCAGCCCTGGAGGGGCCTGTGAGCAAGTGCATTGAAGCTAAGGAAGCTGGGTGACATTTAAGGCATTTAGTGACGCTCCCAAGCAGGCAGCATGCCCTGGTGGCAGAAGCACAGCTGCCCCATGGGAAGCTTTTGAACAGCTCCTGGGGAAGGGGACTATCCTGTGGCTCTGAGAGCTGGCATCTTACTCCTCTTACAGTCAAGAAGGGTGCTGATGTGGTGGAAATCTACCCCTTCTGCGGGGGCTTGGATATTTGCCCCACCTTAGTACTTATCTAAGCCTTGGGAAGAATTTAATATAGAGGTGTCTGAAAGCAGGGCCTGGGGAATCACACCATTCTATTTGCTTATGCAGTTCCTCTTTGGCCTCCCCCCCTTTTGCAAGCTATACAGTTTATAACAGCTTGGAGTTCATGAAAGGTTCATGGTGCATGGGAACGATCGCCCTTGGTTTTGTGTTTGTACATTATTTTAGGACCTTGACAAGGACCGTGTCAAGGTGCAGTATTTGGAGGCATAGACTTTGGAGTGAGAAAGACCTGGCTCTGATACTTGGCATAGGTGGGATTTTAGATTAATTACTTACTTTTGCTATGGTTCATTTTTCTCAAATGTATAGCAGAAAAATATCTGGTTCTCCTCTATGGCATTTTCTGGGGATTGATTGATTATGACAGATTGGTGCATGCTTAGCCTTTACTTAACTTGGCTATTGCAATACACAATTACAGCTAAAGATAAAGCGTTCAGTAAGTGTTAATTATTAATACAATTGTTATTACCTCTGAGACTCTGCTCAGCCCACCAGAGTGGTTAAGGATTACTTTCCTACTGATGCAGAAAAGCCCAGTGAAGTCATTGCTGAGCATCCCTGGCACTGTAAGCAGAAGAGCCAAGCTAGGAGCCTTAGGTTTTCTGGCTCCGAGCACAGAATGCTTCTCTTTGGATGATTCAGAAGCAAGATTTCTGAAAGCATTTCAAGCAAAACTGCTGAGTAGTTCTGGGATATTTCTCCCTTCAGTGGAGAAATTTGTTGGGTTGACGCCAAGGACCAGTGGTCCAAGGAGCACTGGGGTGCAATGAGCAGTTGGGTGGTCGCTTGCGCAGGACTCCCTTGAACAGCACCTACGGCAGTGGCCCTGGGGGCCCGTGAGGGCCTGTGGCTCAGTCCCACCAGGGGAGAGCATGAGGCACAGATCAGAGGCACAGATGTTCAGAGGCTTCTCAGTGGGGTCCCTGCAGTGAGGCACCCGGGCAGGGTGGCAAGGCCTGTGTCCTGCCCCAGCTTGCCGGCAGCTTCTCCTCCTCTGTTCTGCGGGACGGGGGTGCTATCTGGTTACCTGCCTTGCATGTGGCATGTGAGAATTCACACCTAGAAATGCTCTGAACTTCTGTGGGGAGGTGCAGAAGCAGCCTGGCAGCCCCCTGCTCGGAACTGCGTAACAAGTGTAGCTCCGTGGGGCACAGCAGGGATTCTCAGACAGCGTCCCATGGAGCTGTCACATTGTGTATAGTGCTTGCCTGCCCTGGTGAGAAAAGCTAAGACTCATGTTGATAGTAACCGCAGTGACATTCAGGGACAATACTGACCGCTGATGCTTAGGCTGGATGTCCAACCCGAGTGGCATCGGGGTCAGCCCAAGGTACCTGCTGCCTCTGAAACATGACTCCTTCCCTCAGTGGGACGAGTGGGATGAGCTTCGTGCACCTCCCAGGGCAGGCGTTAGAGTAAGATGTTTAAAGCCAGGTAAAAGTGTTGTCTAAAGTACGCTAAGAATATGTAAGCAAAAATAACAATGACTTGTTAGAAGTATAGTAATTTTTGCTAAATCACATGGTCTGAATGCACAATTACTTTTAAACCTTGAAAATGAAAACCAGAAGTGCTTTAGTGAATATTATATGCAAGACAAAAGAGAGAACTCGTGGAAGAATTTTCTGGAGAAACCTGAGGAAGAAGTGGATAGGATGGGCAGCATCTGTGGGCTCTCCTTATCTAGGCCGGCTTAGCTTTGGAAACTTGTTAGCACTTTGCTCAGACAGAGGCCTGTGAGTCTTACCTACTGCGCAGCGTCAGCATGGTTTCAGCAGTGTCCGCTGGTGTGAAGTGCTTGCCATGAGCCGGCAGAGCTCTTTGTGCTGCGAGTGGGACGGGGCGTGCCATCCAGTCTTCACGTTTTCTCTTCGCGGACCCGGAATCACACCTGGGAAGTCCCAGCCGTGAGCGGCGGGCTCACACCCTCAGTGCAGCGCCGCAGAGTCAGGGCCGAGCTGCTGATGAGTGATTGTGGGGGATGCCTGCCGGGTACCTGGAGGCAAACCAGCCTCCTCCTAGTTGAGTTTGGAGGGACTTTTTTTTTTTAGTTTTATGTATTTGGTACTGGGTCTTGCTATGCAATTCAGACTTGTGGGGATCCTTCTGTCTCAGCCTCCCCAGTGCTGGAAGTACAGGCAACCACACCCAGTCTCAGTGGCTGGCAGGAGCACCTGGGGTGGGGCCAGCATATCATGCAGTACTGGGGATTGAACTCAGGTCCTTGTGCTTGCCAGGTAGGCTCTTAGACCACTGAGCTATCTCCCCACCCCCTCATGACCTTTTTATTTAGGACCCCCTTCTTATCAGCATGTCTGATCACCGTTCCTAGCCGGAAAGTACAAACCTGAATTGATCCCAGCCCAGAGAATAGAAGCAGCTCAGCTTCAGCTCCTGTCATCCAGTGTCATCCAGTCTTCTGTATTACAGTAGGCTTCATCCATCCTCCGTCAGGGGTCCGTGGTCATGGTAGAGGAAGCAAAGAACGGCTGAAATGAAAGGAAGCTACACGGATGTTAGCTCTTCTTTTGGTCAGGTCTTTATAGAGCGCTTTCTTCATGCTTTTCCGTAACACCGGATAACTAGTGTTTCGATATCAGCATAAAGCATACATATTCCAAGGCTAAAGAGAAATACATTCCACGTCCAACCTTAGTGTCCCTGCTTCTTCCAATTACCGTGGATAATGGGAACTTCACTGTGGTTGGACTTGCATGATGTTTTTCTTATGCACTGTGTTTAACTGTCACGTAGTCCACCTGTGTTGCCCGTCTGTCTGTATCCTTCTGTGCATCCACTCACTTGCCCGCCTGCTCATTCATTCATTCCTTCTGGAAGTGCTGGGAGCGCAGCTTCTCTGCACACTGTCCGTCCAGAAGGTATAACACAGACACCAATTCTACATTTCTGGGCGCCACGAAAGTGGGGCTTGAGTGATGAGTGGTGAAAGCTCTAGGATTTAACAGTGGCGACTGTCCTTTTAACTGGAGCACCCCTGAGGGGCCCATTGGAATCTTGTGGACTTGGAGCAGGAGATTCTAAGAAGAAGAGTGGCCGGAGGAAGGGCTCTGGGGATTTGTGGGACATGAGGTTGGAATCCAAAACAAAAGATACCATTTATTAAGCCTCTGCTTTTGTTAGATTTGTGAGCGATTTATATTCCACATTTCATTTACTCCTATTGACATTATTATGAAGTGAGTGTCATTATGCAGCTGAGAATAAGGGGCTCAAGGATTTAGCAGGAAAGCCAGGGTAAGATTTAAGCCAGTCCCTACTCTGCCTCCCCTCCAGGGGTGTGCAGTAGAGATGGCCTCAGTCAGCAGGCTCATGAGGCTGGTCCTCTGTCAGGCACCCTGATGTCTTTGTATGCCTGGCTGCGTTCCCCGGTGCGGCCCTGGGGTCTGGAGTGGCGCCTTAGGCTGCTGAAAGAGTCACACCGCACTTTGTGTCCTGCCAGTTTGTGATCCCGTGTCTCTAATCAGCTGTAAACCTTATCTTGCAGGTGAAGTCCTTGCTGCTGTTGCTGCTGGGGACCTCCCTGTTGAGGGAGGTGGCAGCTTGGAAGGCCCTCAGAGTGGGCAGGGCTGCCCTCCAAAAGCCTCGCAACTGCCCCCCTCTGGAGGACAACACTGTCAGGGTTGACGTTCGCATCCTCAATCAGAAGCGGGGCATGCCTGTCACACATGACTTCCGGAACCGCTCCAGCTCCCCCTGGGATTACAAGTAAGTGCACGGGACACAGCTCTTTACGTTCTTTTGAAAAGTATGTTAATTTATTGTAACCATTATCTCAGCTAAATACCCAACACCCACAAAATAAAGGAAGATAGGTTTATTTTTTCAGTCCACAGCTGGCAGGTGCTGAGGCAGGGAGGCACGGCAGGGGGGCATCCCAGAGGAGAAGCAGCCGATGGCAGGGCGGGCATGCAGAAGGCATCGAGCGGCAAGCAACGACAGCGGCAACAGCAGCAGCAGCAGCGAGAACAGCGGGCCAAACCTCCTTATCACTTCCACGCGTCCACCTTCTAGGTGGCGCCGCCCACACCCAGGGGGAGGCTTCCTGTTATCCACACCCAGAGTTACGTTCAAGTGTCCCCGCCATCACATACCTAGGTCCCACTGCCTCTGAACATCCCCACCTATGGCCACGTGAGGCTTTGGGGGACATCTAGACACACACAACCATAAAGTAGGGAAGTTAGAATATAGAAAAAGGGAAAGCAAAAGCCCTGGGCACGCCCCGTGGCCGCAGGAGCTCCGCCTCCCCAGCAGCCCAGCGTCTTCTTGCTGTTTCGGTTAGGTGCGCCTCTGTGACTGAGGAGCCTCACGTTTTGTTTCCGCTCCCTTTGACTGCCCTTTCCATGTAGCCCTACGTTAGAAATACAGATGTTCTCTGCTGGCAGAGAAGCTCCTTTAAGTCGGCTCGTAGTTTTATCTGTGCCTGAGGATAAGTAGGAACCAGAAAATACCAGTTTCAGGGGATCCACTCAGATTTGACATTCGGGAATGGGGGTGAGGTGGAGTGGGAGAGAAAGGCCACTTGGGGATGCAGGCGCCGGGCATCCTCTTCAGGGTAGTTCTGGGCTCTGCCTTACAGCCCACGTCCTAGAAGAGTCACTCACTCTCTGTCCTCTCCAAGTAGGAGCGTGACACCAGACTCCAGGGACCTTAGAGTGCTCTGGATTGCTCCCCAGCTCCTCCCAGCAGAGCGGCAGCGTAGCTGATTGGCTTGTGTGCCACCAGGCAGCGGGGGCACTTGGGGGCAGTTGGGAGACGCTGTGAGAGTCGCAGACACCCGGGGCTTGGGTTTCCCTTTCTGCGCACTGGCTTCATAGATTGCGTGTAGGGAGACGTAAGGGTGCCGCTCAGTCTTCAGGTAAAGGATGAGGAACTAATGATCACAGTAAAGCGAATGAACAGAACCCCGAAGACCCAACACTAAGTGATGCTCACGTGTCCACAGCGGTCTTCTTAGGCATCTGTGTTAGTGAAAGTTTTTAACTGGTCCGTGAGACAATGAGACCCAAGAATCCCCATGTTCTATTTGAAGGAACTCAATGGTAGGGAGCAGCTCCAGGGCCTGTGCATCCTGGGTAACCCCAGACTGCCCTATGGGGCTCTGCCTCGGCCCTCCTCGCTCCCCTGCCTCACGATTCTGCCTCGGCTTGCCCCTGCAGCATCACCCGGGACCCGCACCGCTTCCCCACCGAGATCGTAGAGGCCCAGTGCAGACACGCAGGCTGCGTCAACGCCCAGGGCCAGGAGGACAGCTCCATGAACTCCGTTGCCATCCAGCAAGAGGTTCTCGTCCTCCGCAGGGAGCCGCAGGGCTGTGCTCAGTCCTTCCAGTTGGAGAAAATGCTGGTGACTGTTGGCTGCACCTGCGTCAGCCCCATTGTTCGCCACGTGGCCTGAGAGCTGCACGCCAGCTCAGCTGGAGAAACTGGAGCAGAGCCACTCCTGGTCCAGTGCTCCAAACAAGTCCTGTCTGCCCCCCTTTCCTCCCATCCCATAGGACCCATCACGAGCCCCGCATGGAATTCTTAGAGCTTTATGTTAGGTTAGGGTTACTTGTCCAGGATGCTTCAGATGTATTCCGGTTTTCTATCCTTGTGAAAGTGGCTGGGCAGGAGCATTAAGGAGCCCATGGCCCAGTGTGGTGGCCACCTCATCACCATGGCTACCATGGTCCAGTGCTGTCCCCTGGAGTTTTGTTGATAAAAGGGAAACAGAAAATGCCATCCTAGCACAGCAGTGTGTGGAGGGGGCTGTGCAGGCCGGGGTGGGAAGGTGATGTGGGCACAAGGACCTGGTGAATATCCCCATAGGAAACATCTGCCACAGGTGGATGACACTGGCCTGAACCAGTAGATAGTTATACTGTAAAGAGCCTGTCCATGTATTTATGACCTGTTAATTATACAAAAGGTAGCAGAAAAATGAATACATCCAGTAATATTATAATAAAATAGTAACTGAAAACTGTTTGAGGTGCTTATTTCCACCCTCAGCTTGCACTCAAGAGGTTATGGCCCTGCCTATCTCGAAATCCTGTATTTTCTACTTGTGTTCTGTGTGTCCTCATCAGAGCCCTGAAATTAGCTTATTATTAATGGCATCTGAGTGTGAGTTGCACGGAGACTTAAGGAGGATGGTGCAGACACCACTCACATTCCCAGGTAAACCTTCAGTGTTCCCATCTTCAGGGAACTTTCTTTACAAAGCAAACACTGGCCACGTCCCACTGGAGCTTCAAAGGACAGTAAGAAATACGTAGAGAAAGGCCATGGCTTCGGCAGCTGTCGTCCGCAAAGCTCAGGCATCAGCGCCATGGTCGCCGTATGTGTCCTTGCTATCACTTCTGAGTCCTTGGGAGTCCCAGAGGGTCTTCCATTCTTCCACAGGCTTTTGGGGAGCACACCAGCCTCTAGATCTCAGCTTGTTGTCTCTGGGAAACTCAGAGGTCTGCTCCTGCCTTCCTTGCTCAGACCCGGCACAGCACAATTTTACCTTTCACTGGGATCATGCTGCTGGCTCAGGACAATCCTGCGTGGAAGCCGGCTCACAAGTTCTAGAAGGGAAGTGCGATGTGAATTCTTCCCATGGGGAACCAGGCTTGAGAACGGGTGGACAGCAGGAGCCTGGATCCCATCTCTAATCGGGATGGTAGGGGAACAGGCGGAGTCTTCACTTTTCCTCTTTAGAATCTCTTGCTTAAGGTACAAATGCTGCCTTTTGTATTTGAAATTCTCAGGCTCTTGGAATTTAGAGCCTTTCTTAGCTATTATAAGTCTACTATGAGCTTAGCTTCAAGTGTCCGTTTAGACGTCCAGTTCTGTGCAGAGAATCTTCCTTTCTCTGTCCATCTTGGCAGTGATGGTCCTATCTCATGGGCTGTACACGGAAAAGCTTAAGCTTAGCCCAGACAGTGAGAGAAGCTCAAAGATGAAGCGAATCGCAGGAAGACAAATGGCCCCTCTGAGCATACCCAGGTCTCATCCCCTCTGTGTGTGCTCGTGCAATTTCAAGGTAGGGTGCTAGTCACTATGGTCAAGGTGTGAAATGACAGGGGAACATAGACAATAACAGCTGGTGCATTTCAGGAAGGAGATGATGTTAGCACCAAGACACATGCAGGCTGAACTGGAGGAGGAGGAGAGAAAAGGGTTTCCTGGAAGCGAACAACCTAAGCAATAGGTTAAGGGGCCAGCAAGCGGCTCCGAGTGTTTTGAAACTCAGGAAACATTTCTGTGTAAATAATACCTCTATGTAAATATTTCTAATATTTCTTTAGAATGAATGAATGAACACAGCTGTAAACAAAAAGTGACAGGCAGATGGGCCCACTGTGGGGAGCTGTGTGTCCTCTTACAGAGTGACAATGGAATGTCTATATTTCACAAAGAAAACTTAGGTGGTAGTGGGCAAAAGGATAAAAAAATCTGCAGGCCAATTAATATCGGGGGTGGGTATTTTTTGGACTGTAGAACCCTAGTTAGAGTCAGATGGGCCCCTGTGGATCACGGGGTCTGTCTTTCTGATTTGCAGATGTGGCCGGAAGAGTTAGGTGGGTCGTTACCAACTCTGAATTCATGATTTCTGGTACTGCTCTTTTTTTTGGTGGAACTGGGGATTGAATCCAGGCCCTTGTGCTTGCCAGGGAAGCGAGTACTCCACTGGGCCATCTCCCCCGCCCCTGGTGCTGCTCTTACAGCAGTGCCACTGTTGGTCCGATTCAGACCCATGTCAGCTGCTTCCTTCTATGGCCCGGGGCGGGCCTTGCGGGAGGACTGCCAGGGCATGCATCACCAAACACATCCATTGCAGGGGCTGGACCCCGCGCTGCTGGCTTCCAGCTTGTGCTGGGGCGTGGCTGTCAGTTAGGACGCAGCATGAAGGAAAGGACCAGGAAGCAGAAAGAATTAAGATGTGTTATATACACGGACCACGTCCCCACAATGAGTACAATGATTATGTTCTGCAAGTACATAGGTACTAATGCAAACAGGAAAGAACTGCGTTTAAGGACCCCGCACAGCCGCTGCTGCTCACCAGGTGGCGCACCGCACCGTGCAATCGCAGGTGGCTTGCATTCCTGAAGGGAGGCCCGCGGCTGCCTGGGGGAGGCGAGATTTGAGAGCGGAAGGAGCAGGCTGCGTCTTGCACTTGCAGCCCGGCCCTGTTTAACCTGTAGGAGAAATGGCCTTGGGAGCAGGTTTAGCTGTTCAGTGTAAGGTTTCCAGCGTAACGCGTGAAGGCGTGTGGGGAATCCTGGTTATTTCGCACTGTTCCTTCAAGGAAGCTGAGTAAGGAGCCGAGCTGAGGTGAGCCTGCAGCATACTGTGAACTTTCCATCCTGCAAGCTGTGCAGGCAGGGCTGGATGCATGGCAGCTTGTCACGTGTGAAAGAAAACCGTTTCTTCCCCAGTCCTAGGAGAGCATCAAACGTCCCTTCAAATACAAACACATACGCACTGTGCATGTTTTGTCCTGATCCCCTGGACCACTAACTTAGTTAATCCACACTGTACACACTGGTGAATCTGCTTTACCCGGAGAGACTGCCTCTAGCCATGCCAAGGGCTTCTTGCTGTCCCCTGTCAAGCAAAGACATTATGCCAGGCCTCCAACAATAAATACCTGGCACTCCTTAGAACTGAGGGGGGCCCACGATGGAACCACCTTGACTCGATGGAAGCGCTCCTGGGGTGACATTTCCAGGCCCCGCCTCTCGCTTAAGTTGGGGAGAGGTGTCCCTGCTTCCTACTTTTGGCATGGTTCTCTGGCGGACTCACCTGCAGCTCTCCTGCAGCGTGTGGCTAGACTTCAGCTTTTCTGCTGTCCTCGACTATTGGTGAATTCGCCTCTGCAGCGCCGGCCTTCCCACGCACCTCACAGTAGGGAGGAGCTTTTCTTTTCAGGGAAACTTGAACTAGCCATTTCTCTCTTCTTTCTTTTTTATTTTAGTGAAGGCTTGTCTGAGGAAAAAGACTGTCTTCCTTCTACCTCCCTCCTGCTGTCTTTCCAAATTTAAAGTCATCATGAGGCGAGGGAGATGGCTCAGTAGAATAAGCACTTTCCTGGCACACGTAAGGGCCTGAGTTCAATCCCTGGCTCGGCCAAAAAAAAAAAAATAAAAATAAAAAAAGTCATGCACAAGCATTGTATAACAAATTTCCAGCAGAAAACAGGAAGTTGATTTCTCTTTTTTTCCCCAAATAAAAGGAGAGGTAGGAAAAATGCATATATATAGATAGTTCATGACTTTGAATCGTGGTTTTACCATTATCTGATTATTTGAATTTCACAGTCTGGTCCATATTACACTCTTCTTTTTCATATGTCATGTGGGGGGTAATTACTATTTAACATTTATATAAAGTAATAAGAAGTGTGAGTGACTTAATCCAGTAACGCGAAAATGGGTAGATGAGAGTTGCCACACCAAGAGGCACAGAGCCTCTCATTCCATTTTGCTTGGCCCAAGGAAATCCAGAACCGGCCTTACTAGCTAAGCACATCTGTACTAATTCACAGGGCCTTCAACTTGCTGTATCCACTTTGTACGCGTGCGCGTGCGCGCGCACACACACACACACACACACACACACAGTAGGTTTAAACAAAGAATCTCTATACTGCTAGGTGTGCAGTTTGTTGCCACTTTTCCATTTGTGAAAAGTCAAGGAAACTGCAGATTCAGCACATTAAGCACGGCGCAACCCAATCGTTCATTGCAGCCTCCTTCCTTGGTACAAGGAGGAAGAAAACCACTTTGAGTTGAGTAAGTTTCAGGAGTGGCCCCTGTTGGGCTGGGGATGCATGCTAAAGCTGTGTGGCTTAAAACTTGGCCTACTGCTGGGAGGCTGAGCAAGGGAGATGGCAAGTTTGAGTCCAGCCAGAGGGGCTAAGCGACTCAGGAAGGTGCCGTCTCAAGTGACAGCAAAATCATCTCTGGTGATGTGCGGATGAGGCTCAGCGAGATGGCCTCGGGTCCAAAGGAAGACCATCCGTACATTAAGTGTTCCCTAAATACGGGACTCTAAAAGGACAACAAGAAGTAGGAGGCAGACTGTGACCAGACCAGAGGAAGAGAAGCAAAGGGCTGTGTGTGAGGCAGGCGACAGAGGGGCCAGGGGTGGGTAAAACATGCAGCTGAGCACCCCCATCCAATGCACACCTAGGGGCTGGCGGGCAAGGGCAGCAGAGGGGGAGTGTAAAACGGTCTGCGTGTGTCACATCGTGTGTGCACAAATCTACCGCAATGGAAGCCATTCATCTGTGTAACCGATAGAAAGGATATTTTGTCTAAAAAAATGCTTCTGTATTCTCTCCAGTGCTATGGTGTGGCAGTAGCGTGGATCACAGACTAAGTCCGTGGCACCGTGTGGTGCCGTGGATCACAGAC